ATTCGGTAGCTCACCTTGCTTTGTTTGCAGATTGTGATCCCCTCACATTTGAAGAAGCTGATAAAGATAAAAAATGGCAAATTGCCACGGATGAGGAGATCAAATCTATAGAGAAAAATAATACATGGGAATTGGTGGAGCTCCCGAGGGCAGAAATCCATTGAAATCAAATGGGTTTACAAAACAAAGCTGAACAAAGATGGTGGAGTTGACAAATACAAGGCACGCCTTGTTGTAAAAGGCTACAGGCAAGAATTTGGGATTGACTATAAAGCAGTTTTTGCTCTAGTTGCTAGGCTTGACACTGTTCGTTTAGTGTTAGCCATGGTTGCCCAAAATTCTTGGCAAGTTTATCAATTAGATGTGAAATCTGCATTTTTACATGGTGAGTTGCAGGAAGAAGTCTATGTTGATCAGCCACTTGGATATGTGAAGAAAGGGAGTGAAGAAAAGGTATATAAACTTAAAAAGGTTTTGTATGGCCTAAAACAAGCACCACAAGCTTGGTATAGTCATATAAATGCCTATTTTTCTAAAGAAGGTTTTCAAAAATGCCCTCATGAACATACTCTCTTTACAAAATTTGGAAAAGATGGAAAAATTCTTATTGCGTCTCGTTATGTTGATGATTTAATTTATAATAGAAATGATATAGGCATGATTGACGCTTTTAAGGAGAACATAATGAAAGAATTTGAGATGTCTAATTTGGGCTTAATGCGTTATTTTCTTGGCATTGAAGTTATGCAATCATCAAGTGGGATTTTTATTTCACAAAAGAAGTATGTTCTTGAGATTTTGGACAGGTTCAGAATGAGGGATTGCAATCCCGTTCGTACTCCAGTAGAATGTGGCTTAAAGTTGGTGAAAGATGATGGAGGAAAGAAAGTTAATGCTACTTTCTTCAAGCAAATGGTTGGAAGTTCAATGTATCTCACTTCTACAAGGCCTGACATCATGCATGGTGTTAGTCTTATAAGTCGTCATATGGAAAATCCAACTGAAAATCATCTGTTAGCTGCAAAAAGTATTTTTCATTATCTGAAAGGTACCATTGATTTTGGTATTTTTTTTATAAGGCTAACCCAAAAGAAAAGTTTCATGGCTTTTCTGACAGTGATTATGCTGGAGACCTGGATGACAGAAAAAGTACACCAGGCTTTGTTTTTATGATGAGTGATGGAGCTATTTCTTGGTCTTCAAAGAAACAACCAATTGTTACTTTGTTGACTACAGAAGCTGAATTTGTTGCTGCAGCAGCTTGTTCGTGTTAAGCTATATGGCTAAGAAGATTGCTTGAAACAATTCAGAATCAAGAAAAGGGTCCAGCAACTATTTATTGCAACAATGTTTCAGCAATTAAAATTTCCAAAAATCCAACATTGCATGGAAGAAGCAAGCATATTGACGTTAGATATCATTTTCTGCGTGACCTTTGCAATAATGATACTATTGATTTGGTATTCTGCAAAAGTGAAGATCAAGTGGTTGACATTTTTACTAAATCACTCAAGCAAGATCTGTTCATGAAGCTTAGAAAGATGCTTGGAGTGTGTTCTATGGAAGATTTTGTTCATGGGAGGGCTTAGCTTAAATCCTGGTACTCTTAAACTAAATGTTTGCAAACATTAGTTTAAGGGAAGGATTGTTGGAAATTAATTGATTTTAATTTCTTTGAATTATTCACCTGATTGCCCATTACTCCCACTATCCCATTTTCCCGTTATTGATTATTTGTTGCACGATTTTTGCTACCCACATTCCACGCATTTAGGATCAGATTCCATTATCCCATTTTATGAGTCATGGCTAATTTTTTGAAGGTGGGGTTATTATTTTTATTATTTATTTATCATGTAATTTGCCTATTTAAGGGCCCCATTCAGTTAATGCAAATTATCAGTTCATTCTCCTATTTTTCTCTCTACTTTATTATTTTATATTTATCAAAAACATACACTAACCTTTCTTCAAAGATTACAATACTTTTGAATGATCCCTTTGACAGTTCTATTTTAATTTGTAGAAATTAAAAACAATACATCGAATGGAAAACTAAAATGAAGAACCCAAACACGAACTAATCAGGGTATGCAAACTGCCAAAAAAAGGAAAAAGAAAAAAGAATTTCAGTCGTCATGCAACACATAATAAATCAAAGAAAATCAGCATATTTAAGAGAATAATATTATTAACCTCTCCTTGCCTTCTTCCGAAACTTACTAACTAGAATATCTATAATTGTTTACTGTATGTGGCCTCAATTATTGGACTGACAAACTCAAATTTACAAGTATTGTTTTTTTTATTATTTTGTTGATGAATTCCTAGGCTTTTGTTAATTAGTTAATCAAAGTTAATTTGTCAGTTAGTTCAAATTCCTTCATTTTCTTTATTTTTTATAACAAAATTCCTTCATTTTCTTACATTACTATAACTACTGCAAATATTTAACGTAACCCTGCATCCTATCATGTGATATATTATAACCCTGTTGTTTTTCTGACAACAGTAATTAACTTTTCAAATGGGAAGTAAGTTAGTTTGATATAATCCTAATGAATGTTCAGGTAAAAACATGTTGAGACGTGATTTTTCAAAAATGTATTAAAAATTTAAAACCAAAAAAAAATCCTTTTAATTATAAGGTATTTCCAAGAATATGAGGGAAATCAGATGATAAATAAATGCTTATCAAGTTATGTCAACTAGCAGCGGATTCCATGTAATGGGATTGCACTCATCAATAACAATAAATCTTCAACATTCTTCCAGATTAAATATACTCCTCTGGTCCTATTTATAAGGCACTTCCAACATGTTTCACACAGACCAAGAAAAACCTTAAACTGCATTAACTCTCCATTAAAATATAGCAACTTTCCAACTTTACCCCTATTTAATATATACTCTTTTCAAAAAAAATAACTACTTACACTATAATAAATGAAGGACAAAATAGTACATTCACACTGAAAAGTTAATGAAGTGACTTATAAATAGGACCAAAAAAAACCTTCTCTCTCTGCCCTATAAATAGGACCAGAGGAGTAATTAAATTGCAAATAACAAATAGGGACATTGACAGTAAGATGGACACAATCAAAATATATTATTACCTTCTCTCTTTTTTCGAGATTCCAACGTCGTCCGCTTGACGATTCTTGGACGATATAAGAAGTCTCCTTTTTGCTTTTCCCTTTTTTCCCCCGTTTTTGTAAATTTTATAGAAAGACAAAGCAATCAAACAGGTTACAGCTGCAATGAAGAATCTAAATATGACCGGATGTTAGGGCACACAAACTGCAAAAATAAAAGAACAAAACTTAAAAATAGGTTAAAGAATATAATTGTGAGGTGAATAATGCGGCAATTAATCAGAAGATAAAGACAACAATTTTAATCTGCCTCCTTTGCCCAGAGTACAAAAACTAGCATACCAAAACTTTCAGTATTAAAGAATATTATTTATGAAGAGATTATTTATCACGATATAAAGCCTAGAATAATTTCAAGGTATCTCATTAGTAATCTAGTGGAATTAATGTTTCCCTGTAAGGCTCGGTATCAAAGCAGAAGACAGAACTCATATATGAAGCAAAAGAGACACATAAACTTATAATACGACCTTCGGTCTTAATTATAAGATCTCATTTATAGTTTAGAAATGAGGTTTTATAATTAAAAACAGGACCAGAGGCGGTATAAAAACACTAACAATGATAAAGGAAAAGTAAATAACTAAGAGATAAAAAGGGAAGGTGATGATGAACCTACCAAGTTTTTGGAGATTGCAAATTGCTTGACCATGCCTTCAACAAGCTAACAGAGCAGTCTTCTTTTTTCAGTTTTACTGTTCAAATCAAATCGGTTAGAAAAAGGAAAAAATGGAGAATAAAGAAGCAAATTAAAATTAACAAATTGAGAGAACATTTAAAGGATGAATCAACGTACATTCTTGCCAGGAAAATAGAGCACAGGCAAATTAAATCTTCAATAATGAGATTGGTTTTTGGAGTCTAACTGGTAGTATTATGGAAGGTGGTTTGAGTATAATAATATGCACCCTCGGATGTCAAGAAAACCCTTTGGCTAAGAATATAATCCCTCTCTCGCTATTTGTAAGGTTCAAATTTGAAAAAAGTGTGGTCCATTTTATAAACTCTAATTTGGAATTTATCCAAATATTTAATACATTTTTTCTTCATTTGTGTCCTTAATTATTTATTCTCTTTCTTTTAACATACCCTCTTGTCACATTTTCTTATACATTATCTTTTATTATTTTTCTTGTTTATTATAAAGACATATTTGAAAACAAAACTATATTTCTAACATATTTATTGCTTTTAACACATTTTAATTACTTGTTCATTATCCGTAAATTAGTTATTTGAAACTTATAATAAGTGCTGGATATATTATATATAAAATAAAAAGTCACTTTTTCCAAGGCTTCCTTATATTACTATTCTTTTGTTCATGAATTCTTAATCTATTTTTTTTATCATCAAATTTGTGCATTAAACCAAATTCGTACTTCTTTTGGCTTTATGGATGTGCCCATACATAATATTCTTTTTGCTTTATTATACATCTACAGATCCACTTGCGAATCTTTCGATACATCAAAAGAACAGCATGATATTGAAAAAAAGCTAAGACTAATGAGTACTTTATAAAAGAAAAAAGGGAAAATGACAAGAAAATGACTGTTGAATTCTAAAATGACAAAATGGGCATGTAAATTACTGAAATGACAAAATGGGTATGGGGTATCAATCTGGAATTTGAGTAATTCGCCAAAAAGACTGAAATGCCCTTAATTTTTTCGGGAATCAGAGGGCGGGATATTGTGCAACGGAACTGGAGTTTGGTTGGCGGTTCTCCACTCGGCGAAACTGCATAGACCATAGGGTTCTCCGAACTCTCACATTACACTCGGCGAAACTGCATATGGTTGTCGCAAGTCTCACATTGGCATGGTTGAGGAACTGTGAACGAGGAATGTGAATAGCGTCCGGCTTCTTCGTCTTTTCCGTGGGTCGTAGTGAGAAGCAATAAACCAGTGAGAAGCTTCAATCTTCAGAAGGGAGAGGGGGTGGCTAGAGAGAGAGATTTCGAGGGAGAGCACCTGTAAGGTCGTCACCGGTTGAGGAAGAAGTCGATATTCGTTCGGACCCCGGTAAGCCACCCAAATGTCTCCGTCTTGTGCTTGTCTGATTGGAGTGTTTTAATTTGGGGAAAACGGTGAATGTTGGTTGTAAAGGGGGAAGCAATGGTAAAGGCTTAAAATGGAATGTAAAGGTAGATTAGATTAAAAGTCGGTGCTTCTGTGTGTGACGGAATTACAGAAGTTGCTTGCTTGCTCTGATTCATATAACTCGGTCCATGTTTGACGAGATATCTCTCTGATTGTTGTTGTCTGATTGCTGTGTTGCTGTAATGTTGGAAGGCATAATATACGTGTGTGTTTATGATTGCTACACTACTTTTTAGATGCCCATAAATTGAGACCACTGTCGCACATGAGCAGGATGCTTCCTGTTTCCGCCCCCTTGTTTGGTCTGTTCGTGTAATGGGCATTGCACATTTTTAGCATTGTGTATGGGACTAAAATGAGTTCAACTGTATCCCCATATTGGTTATGCAAATTTAACATTGTAAAATAAATTGAAAGGGGTGACTTTTCGTGGGTAGAACTCTGTTTTGAAGATATAGCTACCTAATGGGCATAACCTCAGTCATTTAGCGGTGCAATTTACCTGGGGATGAACATGCATATTCATTTCAGTATGTACCAAGTGAGAATAACCTTTGTGGCCTTCTTATGTATTGGTATAATTTACTTGGTCATCTGTGGCACTGTGTAGTAGTAATTTCCATAATATAAGTTACTTGAAGATACAAATTTTGTAACATTTCATCGAGAAAGAATCACTTTTAATGCATATTCATTTATTTTTGAATCTGTTGGTCTGAGGATTGAAGAGGTAGAGATTAATCTGCTGGTTTGAGGATTGAAGAGGTAGAGGTCGCTGAAGTGCTGAGAAGCATCAATCGCATTGCTGTCATGGAGGAGGTTGGCGAAGTAACTGTGACTGCGACAAACGGTAATATGCAGTTGTAATAGGAATTAAGTGGTTGAGTTATATAGGTTTGGTAAGTTAGATTGTTTTTAGTTTGTTGTTAAAGTGTATTATGTCATTAGTCTCTATTTTCTGCTCTGTTCTGTGAAGTGAGAAAGAAGCAATAACATTCATTACGTGATCAGCAAATTTAGTTATATGAGTAGTAAATAGTCGAGGTTCATTTTGTGGCTAAATAACAACACCTATAATGTGAATGACTACACTGGAAATGGTAATGACAACTTTTTTGAAATGCAAAGAAAGTTGAGCTGTTCAACTGACCAGATTTAGTTATTTATGCTTGTTGTAGAAGGAGGGCCAAGTGAAGAAGTGAAGAATGGCTACATGTTGTTTAGACGAGAATTTCTTAAGGGTGGGGAGAAGTTTAAGAATATGTCTGAACAAGCGAAAAAGGCATCAAAGGCATGGAAGCAGTTGACACCAGAGGAGCAGAAGAAATACAGTGATAGGGTGAAGCAATCAAGAAAGGAAGGGATGAAGAAGAAGAGGAAGAAAAAAGTGGCTTTTAGCACTCGTTGCTCGGTTCGGCAATTTAAGTCATTAGTGGACTTCATAAAAGATGATGAAGATTTGAAAGTGAGGGTACAAAATTTAGGCTTTGGCCATTTACTTGACATTGGATGTGAGAGACTCCCTCGTGACCTCATAGTATGTGTTCTCCGAGCATATGATCCGCCTACCCATCAATTTCTAATAAGAGGGATAATAAAGGAAATAGAAGCAAATGATGTTGCAAACTTGTTGGGTGTACCCCACACAGGGGAGAAGGTAAAAATGGACGTATGTGATGATGATGAGACATACCAGAGGTTGAAGGAGGAATTTGGTAAAGTCCCTTATACGAAGATACTCAATGACATTAAATCTGGGCAGAAGAAAGATGAGTTTGAGTTCCTGTTTATGCTGTACACACTTGGGAGTTTTTTAACTCCTACTTCACAAACAACTGTGAGTGACAAGCTAATAAGAGTCATGTGCTGTACCATGAAGGGATTTCACCAATTTGATTGGGCCACGTACATTGTGAAGCACTTGTGGAAAGAGATGGGAGATTATGTGAAAGTGTACACAAAAGCAAAGAAAGACGAAGATGAAGATGAAGGAAGCTGCAATGTGGGAGGATGCATCTACCTCCTGTTGGTATGTATTTCTGACTTATGCTTCTAAGTTATTGTTTTCTTTATTTGTGGAATTGGCAAGTTAATGATTTACTATTGTAGTTATATTTTGCTGAGCACTTCCCACTATCCAAAACTGTTGAGAGAGGGTCCCTAAATGCCATTCAATTCTGGACTGATGAGAGGATAAGGAAGCTGGAAAAGAAGGAGAGGGAAAGCAAGAGGGGTTTACTGTATAAGGGCAAGGGAGTATGGATAGAAGTGGGAAGGATGAAGGAAAACGCAGAAGTGTGGCTCATTTACACCCGGTATGTGCTTTCATTACTAATTTTCATTCTCATTAGCAAATAATCTCATGAAAAAAGTGTTTACTCATTTTAAATTGTTTGCTGCAGGAGTTACAGAAGTTGCACGGACGATTGATGGCTCAGATCGAATTAAGCACTATGAGGCTTATAAGTGCAATGGAAGATGAGCTAGATAAGGTGCAGATAAGGATAGAGGAAAATAATGTGACCACAGATGATGAGGACCCTATTGACGTCCCAGATGATGATAAGGGAGATGATGATGCATTTGGCGATGAAGACTCCCATGATCATGATGGACATGAGTCTGATGACGAAGGTGATGATAGAGATGAGTTCCACGGGGGAGATGGTCAGGGAGACGATGATGCAACTGGCTCAGATAGGGGTGATGACATTGGTGTTGCAGCAGAAGGTGCAGACAAAGAAATTATGGAGTCTCCCCTGCCTTTGTCCCCCATGGACAAGGGATGTCAACTCCGGAGATCGCAAAGGGAGATGAAATCCGCTATCAATTCTCCATGGATTTTGACAAAGCCAACTAAGAGGCGAAAGAGGCCCATGGATGACAAGGACCGGTTTTATGACATAGTTTCCCGTATGTGTTCAAGCAAGGAGGGTGACATGTATGTACATATCCACTACCCACGTAATCATATTCATTACAATTTTGTGGTAATTGACTATATGCATAATGATATTGACAACATATTTTTAGGCCTTTGGTGAAAATCTCTGATGAAGATATCACTCGGGATCAGCTAAGGACACTTGGCGGAATTGAGAAAATAGGTAACCGGGTAAGTAGAATATTTGTGATGAGGTCATTTAATTGTTTAGTAGATGCTGCATTTTGGGTTCATCAAAACAATAATCTCTTTGCGTACAGCTGATGTCAACTGTGTGCAAGACTCTAATGGCTGATATGGAGAAGGAAGGGCAGGTGAAGCGGCACATTTTTTATGCTGATTTTATGGTAAGCTTGCTGAGATGTTAGTTTTTTGTCGATTGATATTGATAAATGACTAAAATGTTCATGTTTCAGGCAATAATGGCAGCTAACCCAAAGCTGTGGGATGCTACAAAACGGAAGAAACAATTTTTACCTGAAAATGTAGGCTACAACATAGGAGAATGTGATTTGATCTTTGGACCCACACTTGTTGGCGCTCACTGGTTCTGTGTTGTGCTTGAGCCTAGCACAATGAATTTCTATGTGCTGGACTCAATGAAGCCAAATTTAGAGGGTAAGAAGAAGAGCAAGAAGAAGGGTGTAATTATTGATGACATGACGACCGTCGTCACTGAATGTGTAAGGATAATGCAACTCATCTTCTATGATTGACATTTCATTTACCTTTTATTTACAATTGCGTAATGATATTGTGCAGAGGAATAGATTTTATGACATTATTGAGATAGTTAAGCCTAATGCCACTGGGAAGAAGAAAATGAGTGATATCATTTGGGCTCCTGTTCCGCAACAAAACAATCTGTGAGTGGTTTATGTTGTTGATATTATTACGTCTCAAAGTAGCCCAATGTGTTATTTTCATTCTTTTACATCGTTGGTATGTTTTGATGTGCAGGCGAGACTGCGGTGTTCATGTATTAATATGGTTGAGTAAATGGAAGCCCGGTGAGATACTTCACTATACGGATGAACAAGTGGCTGAATTCCGACGAAACCTCATGTGGTGGCTAGTGAATCATGAGCTTAATTCAAGACGTGATGAAGCATTAAGCTTGCTTTCATCAACCCAAGCCACCACACTGACCAAAAGACGCCATCTGTGATAGGAGGAGACATTATGTAGATTAGGCATATAGTATTTGTAAAAGGAGTGTTAGTTTGAAGTCTTAATATTTGAAGTCTTATGTAGTTTGAAGTCTAAGTGGCTGCCAGTTGTTGGCCTAATTGCAATCCTTTTTGGGATAATTTGAGTAAAAGAGTTATGAAATTTACAACATGCCATGTGACTTCCGTGATGATAATCACAAGTTGATTATTTGTGCCCCAAATTACATCCACTTGGACCCAGGTTAACTACACAAGTAATAGGATTAACAACTTTCGGATTGAGAATTGCAACCTCTGTAATGATAGTTACGACATCGCTGTTGCCATTTGCATCTGAAGTCTTTCAAGCCCAAATCACTTTTTTTGAATCCATTTTCGCTAGAATGACAACATTGGTAATGAAAATTACAACTTTTTTAATGATTGTTACCACCTCGCTATTCCTTTTTGCAACTGCATTTTCGTCCCCACGTATAAATTGTCAGAATTTCACAACCTGGGTAATGAAAATCACAACATTGTTAAGGGAAATTGCAACTATAGTAATGACATTTACCACTATGGTTTCCCCATTTGCATCCCCATGTTTAGGAAATTGTCCCATTTCCGGTTCCTTTAAGTCAATCCCACGCATCAAATTGTTCAGGAAATTTGACTACCCCCGTAATGATAATGACAACATGGGTAATTTTAATTGCAACTTGAGTAACGACATTTACCGGTCTGCTTTTCCCATTTGCGGTTCCCTTAACTGAGACCCACGCATCAAATTGTTCAGGAAATTGTACTACCCCCGTAATGATAATGACAACATGGGTAATGTTAATTGCAACTTGAGTAAGGACATTTACCGGTCTGCTTTTCCCATTTGCGGTTCCCTTAACTGAGACCCACGCATCAAATTGTTCAGGAAATTGTACTACCCCCGTAATGATAATGACAACATGGGTAATGTTAATTGCAACTTGAGTAAGACATTTACCGGTCTGCTTTTCCCATTTGCGGTTCCCTTAACTGAGACCCACGCATCAAATTGTTCAGGAAATTGTACTACCCCCGTAATGATAATGACAACATGGGTAATGTTAATTGCAACTTGAGTAATGACATTTACCGTCTGCTTTTCCCATTTCCGGTTCCCTTAACTGAGACCCACGCATCAAATTGTTCAGGAAATTGTACTACCCCCGTAATGATAATGACAACATGGGTAATGTTAATTGCAACTTGAGTAATGACATTTACCGGTCTGCTTTTCCCATTTGCGGTTCCCTTAACTGAGACCCACGCATCAAATTGTTCAGGAAATTGTACTACCCCCGTAATGATAATGACAACATGGGTAATGTTAATTGCAACTTGAGTAATGACATTTACCGGTCTGCTTTTCCCATTTGCGGTTCCCTTAACTGAGACCCACGCATCAAATTGTTCAGGAAATTGTACTACCCCCGTAATGATAATGACAACATGGGTAATGTTAATTGCAACTTGAGTAATGACATTTACCGTCTGCTTTTCCCATTTCCGGTTCCCTTAACTGAGACCCACGCATCAAATTGTTCAGGAAATTGTACTACCCCCGTAATGATAATGACAACATGGAAATGTTAATTGCAACTTCAGTAATGACATTTACCAGTCTGCTTTTCCCATTTCCGGTTCCCTTAACTCAAACCCACGCATCAAATTGTTCAGGAAATTGTACTACCCCCGTAATGATAATGACAACATGGGTAATGTTAATTGCAACTTCAGTAATGACATTTACCGGTCTGCTTTTCCCATTTCCGGTTCCCTTAACTCAAACCCACGCATCAAATTGTTCAGGAAATTGTACTACCCCCGTAATGATAATGACAACATGGGTAATGTTAATTGCAACTTTAGTGATGATATTTACCACTCTGCTTTTTCCACTTCCACTTCCTTTATTTCAAAGTCAAGTAACATATTTTCAGGGAGTTTCACTAGCCTGGAAATGATAATAACAACATTGGTAATGTGAATAACAACATCGTTGATGACATTAACCACTCCAGTCATACCCATTGGCAACTTCCACCATCTCCCTTGAGGGCATTAAACAAAAGGTCATCTGTGTTGCCAAAATAGCATAGAAGTACACCAAAAGAGCATCATAGGATGTCTGCATTAACATTTAGACTTTACTACATGTGTAATTGAATTTACCACTGAAGTGACAATATTTACCAAAAACCAGTAGGCCCATCACAGAAGGTACATAACTTATATTCAAATGACAAGTTAACAGTAAGATTAACCCACTACCTAATGTTTCGTCCCCATTCACATTACAAAACATATCCTACCCAGTGAATATCATTTACAAAAAGGATAGCCTACCCATCATACGATTTTTACATTAACATTCAGACTTTACTATATCTGTAATGGAATTGACCACTGACGTAATGATATTTACTAAAAACCAGTAGGCCCATGACAGAAGCTACATAACTGATATCCAAATGACAAGTTAACATTAGGATTAACCTACCGCCTAATGTTTTCTTGTCATTCAGATTACAGAACATCTCCTACCCAGTTAACATCATTAACAAAAAAGATAGCCTACCTATCAACCCTTCTCCCAAAAAAATTAAAAAGGGTTCAAGAGTCATTCCTTTCCTATAACAAAAAATTACCCCTGTTGGTATTGACATGAAACCTTAAGTTGGGTTTGGATTCTTGCATGTTCTTCTTGTGTGGCCAACTTGCTGGCATGCACTACAATGGTAGACCTTCTTGTTTTGAAACTGCGACTCTTGCCTATTTATCCTAGGCCTTCCAGGTGGTCGACTAGTCAAAGGTGGTGCCAAAAACACTTGACTTGCTATATCTTGCAGCCGATAGTTATTAGGATTTGGCATGTCGATTGTCACCACTGGAGTCATCGTCCTACCATAAATCTTTTGTTGGGACGTAATCTTGTAGCATTCTTCAACAAAATCATACACATTGCAATTCAAGGCCTTGATAGCTGCACATGCATGTGGGCATGGGATGCCTGACATTTGCCAAGCTGCACAACTACATTCACCTTTTCCAAGATCAACATTAATGGCTCCTTTTGCTGTATGGACACACACCCTACCCCTTCCGTAAGGAACACTTAACATCTGTGCAGATCTCGCCACATTTTCCATCAATGTTGCATTTGTATTTGGGCCTACACCATTCTTCCATTTGCTCATTGCCATGCTTGCTGCATACATCTTCTTGGCTACTTTTTCACGATGCTCATGTATAAGTTGGGCAACATTATATCTTCTCTCCTTCAGCATCCACGCATTGAATGACTCTGCAAGGTTTGTTGTTATGTTGTCCCATCGTTTAAAAGGGAACTTGCTTAAGGCCCACTTGTGAATATCACCATGATTGACAAGCCATTCAAATAATTGGGAATTGAAGTGTCTCATGTTATCCATTGCTTGATCAAACTCTGTGTCAAGCCTTGCATATGCAATGGCATCTAGGAAATGCAGTCCATCCTCCCTTGTGTTGCCACTTGTCTTCCTTCTTCCTCTATTTAACTTGATCATTTGTGTACTGAAATTCTCCTTAACATGTCTGTAACAGTACGCATGTCGCTCACCTCCGAATATTGCTTGCACAGCACCTATAATTGCATTGTGTCGGTCTGAAATGATTGTTAATTGCATTGACCCAATTATCTCCTTGATCATATGTAAGAACCATGTCCAATCCTCAAGCGTCTCTCCCTTCACAATCGCAATGGCAAAAGGTAATAATTCGTTGTCCGCATCATAAGCCGACGCTGAAAGTAGTGTCCCCTTATACGGTCCACTTAAATGACTTCCATCAATATACAGTACATGTCTAGCACCAGCAATAAAACCCTCTATACAACACCCATAGGCTATGAATACACGCTCAAATCTGTTGTTCCTTGCAGCCACCCATTTTGCCACTGTTTTGTCATCGGTTTCCTTCAACCGGTCACATATCCATGGAATAAGCATGTAAGAATGATCAGGTCTGCCATGTATGTCCTCCAACGCTTTTTCCTTGGCCCTGTATGCTTGCTTATATGTCAACTTCACACCATAATCTCTTTCCAACCTCTTTTTTATATCATTTGGACGCATGTCTATATGATCCCTAACCTCTTCAATTATAATTGATGATGTCAAGCTAGCTGATCTACCATGTGTCACATGAAGATTGTCTTGGGCATTATGAACATGCTCATTTTTGAATGTCGTTACACGTAAAAATGCTGGAGTACTCTTTACAGCTGCTCTTGCACTGATCCTCCATGGACAACCTTCAACATTGCATTTGACATACATATGGGCATTAGAATTCTTCACATATTTATACTCAAATTTGTTTGCAATGCTGAATTTGTGTAGTTTCTTCTTGAAATCATCCGCATCTGGAAAAGTCTGCCTCAATCCTAACAATACTGTTTTCCATTTCAGGGAATTCATTCCTGGCAAAGGAGTTGGTGCACTCTCTACTGCATATGGCAGGCTAAGAACATTTTCAGCTGCTATGTAATTCACACATTCGACAGCATCCTCAATCATTGGCTCATCATTTTGCTGTGACAGTCCTGACAATTTTGACATGCTGCATGTATAATTACAACATTTGTTATGATATTAACAACAACATTATCGAAAGTAACAACTTCCATAATCCGAAACTTGTGACTTACCTGTTTCGATCAGCCACTTCTTCCTCCGTATTCTCATTACCTTTAGCTGCTACGTATACATGTGCATTACTATCATTATACTCAAATAGGTTGTCAACTTCATCATCATCAATAAGATCTATTAATATCCTATCATTCAAGCCCAATGTGTATTTAATGTCGCAACCATTACTATCTACACCAAACCATTCTCCTATCATAACCCTCAAATCTTCAAGCCTTATACCCTCCTTGATCACTCTTACCCTGACAGTTCCACCATAGTACTTAACTTCACCATCACCATTTTCTGCAAACTTCCCACCCACATGAAAGTAACAAGCAAGACGCTTTGAAGATGTTGACCCAATGTTAGATGTCATCAAAGCTACCTAACCTGCACCACAGAAGCATAAATCAATATTTTAGTTCCCCAATAATCAATTTCATTTATCAGGATTTCTAAACTTTTCTTGCGATTTCACAAAAAATGCAACACCCAAAATACGTCCGCGCACACTTGCTACATTGACAACTTAAATATGGGATTTCACAACTCCAATAATGAATTTGACAACACTGACCACCTCATGCTTACTGTTAGCCCTCAATCTTCATGCCCACGTTATCAGTTCCCACCATTTTTTCATTTCCGATGTATCGCTCTCTCATCCTGGTCAGATTCTTCATTTAAACCATCTACACTCATAAACCCATCCCCATTAGACCATGTACCAGTAAACCGACTTGAAAACCCAAACCCATCATTAAGCTCCACTTTCTTACGTAATACCCACGTTCAACCCCTCTCTCACTACAAACCAGGTTGCCCACACAGCAATTCCACCGTAATGAATCAGATTTGTACAATGGTGAGAGTTGGAGGAGTAGATAACAGCATTTTAGGAGAAATTTTCCTTACCTTTTCCGTCTTCTCAGCGTTCGACTCTGCTCCGCCTCCGTTTTCAGCTTCTCATCTCTCCTCATGTTACGTGTCATGCCTTTGTCTTCATGAGTTCAGACTGATTCAGGGGCATTTCAGTCTTTTTGGCGAATTACTCAAATTCCAGATTGATACCCCATACCCATTTTGTCATTTCAGTAATTTACATGCCCATTTTGTCATTTTAGAATTCAACAGTCATTTTCTTGTCATTTTCCTAAGAAAAAAAGTAATAATAATAAGAATGATAATATATAGAAATATTTTACTATCTTACCGGGGAGACATGGCATCTTGACTCATTGGAGCTAAAGACGCTGGCAACCCTGCAGCTGCAACACATAACAATAAAAATTTAATAATTATTTGCACACACATGTAATTGAAAAATGGAAAAATTGGGGGAAAATTTTTTTACCAGACAGCATTTTTTTACTGGAGGCAATTTTATTCGGAAAAATATCAGACACTAAATAAGAATACTTCTGAATTCGAACCTTACTTTGTTTCTTTGCGAGGGATTAACTTCGCATGCTAACCTAAATGCTCGTATACTTTCTTTTACGTAGAAATCTATGTAAGTTTAAAATGAATGCAAAAATAAACACGAGCTTTCAAATAAAGTAACGACCATTATTTTTTGATAGTGGGCCACAGTTATGAAAGGATCAAAAATACCCTGACTCCTAGAAAAAACTCCATCTGAAACTCTCGAAGCGAAGCAGGACCAGCCACGCCTTTTTCTGATTATGGAATCTTCTTCAACCTTCCTCTTCCATTTTGCAATCCTCACTGGAATCTTCTTTGACCTTCCTCTTCCATTTCGCCATCAAGTATATGGGATGGCAACGGCGGCGAGTTGAGACTATGAGTGATGACTGACCTCTGCGATTTTTGCCGACGGTTGAAAAAACACAATGCATTTCCTTCGCCGCCGCCACTTGGTAGAGTCTCTTTTTGTCTCTTTCTCTAGAGAAAGATGGAAGGCTAAAGGAGGTTATTTGGACCTTTTCTAAATGAATTGTTGCTTTTTTATGCTGAGAGCTCAAAACAAATACAGATGCTCTTATACATTCGGATTCAACATAAGTGAAATTGCTTCATTTTTTAATAGGGCTAAATTATACAAAGCTCCTAGTAAACTTTAAGACGGTTATATATAACTTCTTTGACATTTCAAAGTTTAAATTTAATCCCTCTGATTTTTTTTTGATTTTTTTTTATTATTGACTCTTTGCCGTTAATTTACTGTTGACTGTTATCTTTTTAACAAAATTTGCCACATCAAGTCAACATAAAATACCTTACATCCTACGGTGGCATTTCACATGACTTCCGATCTAATTTAACCTTTTATAATGATTAGACTTTGGAAATATCATTTTGATCACCTTTGAATTCATTGAAGTTATAGCCTCTGGCGGCTGTGAGGAATGAATTTTAATAGCTCTGTTCCCCTGTTTCTGAACTCTGAATAACATCAAAAGATCATAAATTTTTCTCTTTATTCACTAATCAATTCTCCTTTTAGTAATATTTAGATGTATCAGTTTAAAGAAAAAAAAGTAATTTGCACAGTTAAACGATTAATAAGCGATCTAATATTTTGTCTTTGATGACATCTGTTAAAAAGAACTATTTGTCACTACTATATATTATGAAAATGAAAATTCACAAAAGAGCCACGCCTAACCCTTACCGTTATGTTCATTTTTCATATATCATCATTCAATTTGGTGAAAAAGAATATGATAATATCGAAGCAATAAATGAAAGATAGATAAAGAGCTTGGGGATGTCATTTGGAATCACCTTTGAATTTTGATGAAGCTTCCTTCCCCTGCTTCTAGGCCCTGAATAAAACCAACATATAAAGTTTGTTTTATAAAGTACTCCTCCGGTTCTTAATATAAGACCTATTTAACTAATTTGATTAGATTAAGGAAGTTAGGTAAGTTAGTTAATTATAAGAAAAGTGACACATTTTTTCTAAAATACCATAATCATCTCTCTTAATACCCCCTTTCCCTCTTCTACTTGATTATAGTTGAGGGAGTATCCATAGGGGTAATTTAGAGAAAATTGATAAATATGAGAAATGGGTCTTATATTTAGAACCAAAATCAACTCAAAAATTGGGTCCTATATTAAGGACCGGAGGAATAATTAACTTTATCAATTCTTTACTCCTAGCAACATTTAAATATGAGTTAAAAAGAATAATTTACTGTCACTCCCCGAATTATGCAAATTCTTTCCATATTTAAAGAATTATCCAGGGGTCATCCTTATTGCTTCCTTGGCCTGACAATTTTTGCATTCAATTGGTATTATGGCTTCTTTTGATCCATCCTGCTCTTTGTTGATTTTGCATTTCCAATTATACTATAAAGTACTGCAAACTTTAATTTCACATTTTGCTTCTCCTGATGTCAGTTGATCTCTCAATTTTTGCTCTGATCTTAGGTTGCCAATGGCCAATTGTTATAAAATCACAATGACATCCTTATTTTTTTTTATTTATTTTGACGTCAAACCACCTAATATCCAAAAGTTATATTGAATTTTGACTTTACTTCCATTAAGCCAATATGACCATCAGGGCAATAAAGGTTTTTTTTTTTAAACCAATTTTCAATACAAGCCGTATGTGCAATAGTTGAACCCAAAGCCATTAAGTTTCATTCTTTACATTTGACAATGGACAAATAAATTCCTCTCTAATTGAAACGTCTCATCTCTATAGGACTATTTGAGACTGTGCCTATGATGTTTATGGAATGAAGTACTACCTCTGATTTTTAATATAAGACCTCGTTTGACTTTTATATATTTTGATCTTAAATATAAAACTCCAATCTACTTTGTCTCTTATATTTATTTATTTTTTTCAATGCAGACCTTTTAACAATGGTAGTTTTAGCCAACACACTTGATTAGCAAGGATATTTTAGGAAAGACAATACCTATTTATTATAAATAATTAATTTAACTTATTTCCTTAATATCCTCAAATTAGTCAACTAGCTCTTATAATTAGGACCGGAGGTAGTATTACAATGTTGTTTATAGTCTTTTTTTTTTTTATAACTTGTTTTAGACTAGTAGTTATTGTACTCATTACTGTTAATTAGAAGAATACTTTGCACAAACAATATCATTTAGAAGAATATAGCTTTTTATCAAAAAAAAAACAAAAGAAAAAAGAAAAAGAAGATTATAGTTTAAGCAACCAACCTAACAAAATTGGCATCAAGAGGCATTGCACAAGCTGTTTGCTAATAGATCACAGCGATTAAATTCTACTAACAAGCATAATTTAATGGAACATAGGGGCCATATTGGTTTGTCTGAGGCATTATGTTTCTCTCATTTTTGACTCTTTTGAAAAACATAACACAACCAATCGGAAACAAAAAGTGAGCATACTTAAATACCAAAGGGCCTATCTTTGGCACTTATTATTTTCCTAAACTCGGCCATCTTCATAACTAAGTTCCTGCGATCTTCGAACAGATCAAATAGTTGACTGTCAACTGCTTCAAACTCAGTTTGCGCTATTGCTAGCTTCTCTTTAGCTTCTATCCTCTTCTTTTGCACACGTTCCAATGCAATGTCACATTTCTCAAGTTCTTCCTCCATGACTGAGATTTTCTCTTCTGCTACCAAGACATCAGATTTGTCAATGCCAAATACTTTAGCCTGAACCAGCTTAATCCAATCCTTGTCAAACCCAAGAAAAGTTGCAGCACCTAAGTTCCCCTCTAGGGCAGTTCTATCTGATGCTGTAATGGTACAAGGTGTTTTGGTAGCCAGCAAGACTAAAATATCAACAAGGACTCTGTAGGAAAAAGCTATTATTGGGTGAGTACGTTGTCCACAAGACAGCCTTAGTTGAGGATATAGCTCAAGTGCTTTGGCCAGTAAAGCTGGTTCTCCACCCTTCAACTCCACAAGTTGGAAAATCTCACCAATCTCTAGTATTGGAGAAGAAGCAGCAGCAGCAGTTTGTGATTCTGACACACACACAGCCAAGAAAGTTAGTACAAAACTGGAAGAGAATCTAAAATCATCAAAAAAGAAAGATACTTACGATGATGGGAAGAGGGAATAACATCATGACAGCTTGTGTTGTCCTCCATGGGAATATTGGGTTTAAAATCACTAAAGTATGTCAAAAAGTTAGCCATTTCAGCCTTCTCTGATTTAGGTCCATCTTGAACATTTGCATATCTTGTTTCTTTAGTAGTCTACAAAGCACAAAAGGAAAAATTAGTCCAACAACTTTCTTCTCTGTTTCTAAGCTTTCAGTAAAACCAGGTAAAAGATAAAATTTGATTTATAAAATGACATCAATATCACATAATTTATCTATTTATTCACTAATTATTTTTACCTAGCAATATATCTACATTGGTTCAAAAAAGTAGTTTGAGACAAGATGAATGATATAATTGTTTACTTCCCTTGTATCCAACAGTCATGAAGACAAAAAACAAACAATCTAACAAACTTCAATTCCCTTACCTGTGCAAATTCTGTTCCTAAAGGCATATCCGATGATCCTCTTGGCTGCTTCATTAGCTCTAGATTGGTTGATTGAATTGCTACTTTGTCTCCATTTGATGGATCATGCTTTTGAAAGTCTGGTTTCACACATTCTTCCACACCAGCAACCTAGAAAATATGAAGTTATTTTCATTGGTCTTGCATTTCCGAATATATTAACTCCAGAGCTCTGCATCATCATATATTGAACTTATCATCATAGATGGACCTGATTGTGAGGCCTCTCCATGTGAATAAAAGGAAGAAGCATCTATTTTAGCTTCCATTGTTGTAGTCTCCTCTTGAATGCTTTCAAAGTTCTATAAAAGTACCAATAGATATACAAGTGTTAGGCCCTTTAATTATAATCTACCTTTATCTTTATTACAAAATGAAAATCTGGTTGACATCATATATGTGGTGTAAACTTGTTGATATTGACTTACAAAGATGTAAATGAGTGGTACTTGGCATTTAAACTTACAGAAATAAGACACACCATTGGAGATGGACCGGATTGTGAGTCCTCTACATGTGAATAAATGAAATTTGCATCTGTTTTAGCTTTCATATTTGTGATGTCCTCTTGAATATTTCCAGCGCCCTGCATAAGTACCAAAAAATATGTTAGGTCATTTAATTATAACCAGTCGGTTCTACTTCCTCTCTCTGAAGAGTTCAAGCATACAAGAGATGTCTTTTCTGTGAGTCCTTGCTGTTTTATCATGATTGTTCCACTTGACTTTTTCTTTGTCAAATCCTGAAACAAGCAGTGAGGGGGGAAAAAAAGATACATTTTCTTTTAGCCATCTAGCATATTCCTAACACTAAATTTAAAAAAAAAAAAAAAGGCATAACACAATAATCAATAACCAATGGAAACTCCTCTTGTGAAATAGTGATTGATGCTGCTGATAAATTCCTCGGTGCTAAATCAGCAAACAGAGTTTCTAATATAACATCCTTATAGGTAGGCCTTGCCTGAGCTCTTTCCTTTGCTATGACATTAATACTCTGTGCAGTTCAAAAGAGTGGTTAGTAATCATAAGGCAACTTCAAAATAACTATTGGGATACATTAATGATGACGCACATCATCATCAAGTGGTATTTTGGTTTTATGAGAAACTTCCATGGATTTCTTTGTTTCTTCAAGATCCTGTTGTTGGCCCAGCAAAATTGCTTCACGTGTTGACTGTTCATACTCCACCTCCTATTTGAAGCGTTGAAGATTTAGATGCAACTTGTTGGCATTATTAATGACGAAATTGAATTATGAAAAACCCATTGGAGTTCAGATGTTGCTGTATTAGAAAAGGGCAATGGACTTACTTGTGCAGAATCATTTCTAGAGTTGACAAATGGTCTAGTAGGTTGCTTCCTTGAATTTGAATTAGTTGATAGAATTGCTATCATGGCATCCTCCGTTGAATAATTCTCTTGAAGACTTGATTCTGTTATCTCTTTGATACTATGAGTAATCTAAAAAGAAAGGCCAAAAAAACGAAATAATTTTCAGTTTCATTTATTCCGTCTGCAGATAATTATTTACTTTAGCCACATGATGAAAGATAAAAAGAAATGGTTGTTTCCCCAAAAATCTTTGCTTACATTAGATCTTTTCAAGAATTTGGCGAAGTTGCTTTTGTAGCTTTATTAGATGTATCAGCTGTTAGTGATGAATAATGACTAATAATTAGGGGGGGGGGGACACAGAAAGCTGCAGTCATCTAAGCATATTCCCATGTTCTGTTTGATGCATTTTGTTTAAAAAAAACTTAGACTTGGTGTGGAGAAACTAAGCTGATGTAAATGTGGAATGAGATGGCGATGTACCATTGATGATGAAACTTCTTCAACACTTGTCTTCATTGCTTCCTCCGAGCTCTAACCAACACCATAATTAGTAGGTTAGTTAGTTGTAGTAATCAAACTTATGAACAAGTTAAATTCACTTGTGAAATAAAATACAAAAAAGAATAATGATTTTTGTTGGTATTTTGATGACTAGTCTAATACATATACCTCTACAAGTTTTGGCAAAACACTTGCTGTTGCTTGATTTTCTGAATCCCCATTTTTAGGCTCTTCTTGGATTTGATTAGTTTCTGCAGCAGAATTTTTAATATCATATTAATATTCATAAAAGTAGCTAGCAATTATCAAAATACTTTTCTTGGATTTATACCTTGATACTTTGGGCAATCTTCCACTTCACATTGCAGATCCTTAAAATCAATCCCTTCACAAATAGAAATAAGCTTTGGGAGTTTTCTAAGTGTTACCTTTGACAGTTTTGGAAATACTTCTCCCATTTTTTCCATCTTCTCCATATTATCTTGTTTGCATATAAATATTTGCTCAAGCTCAGAGGCTTCTTCTATTCTCAAGACCTTCAACTTTGGAAACATCTCACATGTTGAGATAGAGAAGAGGAATTTCAAGCTATGACAACACTTGATGTCAATTTTCTCTAACTTTGGGAAACAAAGTTGATGCAAATGATCCCTATCACTCTCTTCAATGATGTTAACTAATTCGTCACAATCTGTTATCAATAAAGAGGATAATTGTGGGAGGCTTTTCAATATTGAGACACAGAAGACTGCTCTTAGCATTTTACATGCTATGATGTTTAGTTCTTCGAGATTGGCGAGGCTCAAAATATATTTGGGACCCCTACATATATGTCTCAACTCACTTAGATCATCCAACCACATTTTTTCTAAGCTTAACGTGATGACTCCACCTTCACTTTCCACTCCCTCCAAATTAAGAACCTCTTCTATTTTGGAGTGTCTTACCCAAAATTCTGTCAGCTTTTGCACGTCCTTGATAATTTTCATCAGGTCCTGATAAAAGTAAATCAATTCATGATAAAAATAAATCAATTCAAAATTTCAGCAGCAGATCAAATTATCACATTCACGAATTGTAGAATCCAATACTATTATTAATGATGTCTCAATGTGCATTGAGTTAGAAAAAAAAGATAAACTTCATTATTGATGCGTAGAATGCTTACAAATTAAAGACACATACACATCGATTATGCCTAAGTATAACGACTTGAAATCATAAAATGTATATATACTTGAAAAGCTAATTAATCCATGGTTAATTTCTCCTATAGATAAACTTATATATGGTGCAAGTTTCTTTTAAACTATTTAGCAAATTTTTTTAAATTTTTAAGGTCATTGCTTTTTTCAATTAACATCTTTTGTAAGAATCTGATTTAAAAAAAAGCAGTTTTGTTATAAATGAAAACTGAATTGTCAATTTCTATAAGTGAAAATTTGATAACTTTTTAGGCCAAAAAATTCAGTAATTTCATGTCTTGACATGCAAAGTTTTTATGCATGAAAAATGTGTTCTTGATGTTCGAGTTTAAATGCTAAGCAATCCTGTTGTGATGAGAAGAAAATTTCCAAGAAAAAAAGATAAAATAAACAAAGTAATATATATGGAGCAGTTTTCTTTCAAACTATTTAGCAGAAATATTTAAATTTTTAAGGTCATTGTTTTTTTTAGTTAACATCTTCTGGAAGATTTTGATTAAAGGCGCGCATGCGTACATATATGTTGATGAAAAGCAAATTTTTATAAATGAAAAATATATTATAAATTTTTATGTATGAAATGTCTTGACATGAAAATTTTGTAAGCATAAAAATATGTTCTTGATGTTCAAGTTTAAATGCTAAGCAATCCAAATAAACAGAGCAATATGCAGATCATAGAACAAGAAGTCAAATGTGTTACCTTTGGAGCTTTCACATTCAATTGTATTCCTTGTAAATAAGCCACCAAATCCGGAAAAGATCCTCCGTTGAACCCTTGAAGACCCCCCAAATCAATGCTTCGTAGCAATGTTTTAAAAGCCGGACCGGAAGTCGAGCCGGAAAGATCAACGGGTCATGGTTCAATCGGTCGGATCGGTCGGACCGTTTGGTCAGACCGGTGATGTAATAATTAATTTAAAACAATATTATATACATATAATTAGTATATATGAAAAATATCAAATTATTAAATAATTTAGAAATGCATTTAAATAATCTAAAATTATAATGAAATCATTGAAAATGGACTAAAACCTTATATATTTAAATTTATGTATGTTTAAAATATTTAATGATATTACAAATTATCAATTCATTCAAATCAAAATATTTTTTTAAACGATAGACCAAATATCAAAACAAAAAGACTAGCGACTTACGATTTTAACACCACAATATATGAAATTTTCAATGAAATAATACTCTATGGTTATAAATAGTCTAAAAATATATTAGGATATTTAAGGGGATCAATTTTTTTATTTTTCTTCTATTTTTTTTTAAATTTTTAGTATTTTTCAGTCAGGCTAAAAAAACCGTCCGGTTTTCTGAAAACCGTTCCGGTTCCCGGTCCAACTCCGGTTTCCGGCTTAATAACGGCTCAACTCCGGTCCAATCCGGCTCAACTATATGAACGGTTTTTTAGTCCAAACCGAGCCGTTAACGAGTCCGGGTCACGGTTCAACCGGTTCGACCGTCCGGTCCGGTCCGGTTCTTAAAACATTGCTTCGTAGAGGCGGAAAGTTGAGGTGATATTTTTTGGCACCAATATTGTTGATTAACTTTGGTACATCTACAAGTTCTAGTGTTTCCAAAGCAGGGAGATGAATTGTATTTGATAAATGATCTCCATCATCATATTTCCCAAAAATGTATTTCAACTCAGCAGCTTTCCAGATACTCAAAGATTTTAATTTTTGAAGAGTACCAAAAAGAGACAGAGGAAATATAAACTCCAACTTGTTGCAATTGCCGATACTTATATCCTCCAGTTTTGGGAAAATGGAGCTATAGTTCATGTCATGATGATGATTATTAGAATCATCTTCAACTACATTAACTAATTCCTCACAATTCCATACTTGTAATTGAGACAACTGTGATAGGTTTCTGCAAGCAGAGACAGAGAACAAAATCTTCAACTTCTGGTTTCCCTTGATTGTTATTCCTTTTAGATTGTGGAAGTTGAGAACATGTTGAAAGCCCACACTTGGAGTGAGTAGTGGTATTTCGACGTTAACAATCTCTTGTATTTCAGATTCATTTGCTCTCTCACTTCTCACATCTTCCATGTGCTTCTTAATTTCCTACAACAAATTTTCACAAAAAGACAATTCAACATTTAAAATAATATTCTCTATTTTGATCCATGTGCTTATGAAATACATACACATTCACCCACAAAACACAAACACACTATATTATTTTTGGGAAATATTTAAATTCAAATTTGAAATCATTATAGAACTAAAGCCGAATCACTTTGACATAATTAATTGTACATGTCTCCATAGGAAAATTATATGAAAGTCTTCATTGTTTTGAGAATGTTTAAATATTTTGTTAGCAATACATAATTTATTACATATAATCTTTATACAAAATAAAAATATTGATAAACTGCACTTTGATTTAAACTGAAAAAAAAGAAAAAGATCAGAGTCAGAGAAGTTGACATTAAATTTAGTGTAATAATTAATATATTACCTCACTTTATCTAAAACTCTGAGGTACAAAATAGACATCAAATTTTAAACCAATAGAATTTCTTTTTGGCCATTCAAAAACGGTTAGGGTGCATGTAACCCCACAATATATAGTATCTGATAATATATGTAATCTAGAGGCTTATCTTATTAATCAATATTAGAGTTGTAAGAAAATCGAGTAATTATGTGAGTATAAAATTGAGCAATTGGTATAGATTTAACATTTTATATAAAAATATATAAATAAGTTAACACGATTAAAATTTAATCTTATCATTTTTCAGTTGTAATTTGTAAACTATGATTATACAGCATAATTTTTCTCACTTTTTTCGCTACAGTTATGAACTATTCAAATCAAATTTAATAGTTTAAATTTCTTTAGGTATTTTTTAAGTAAGATTATAATGATATTTAAGAAAACATTAGTTTTTATATAACGATGACAAAGTTGAAAGAAGAGTAGAGGAGGTTCCCCTGCCTCAGTTCATCCATAATTTTGGGGCATAAAAGAAGACATCAAACAAATACAACTATTCCAAAATAATGAATATTAAATTAGGAGTGTGAGCATTTTAAAGATCAAATTGTTTTAGTTCGTTAGGTACCAGCTAAAATAATTCCAAAAAAAACTAATTGAAAATGAACAGAATTATTATATACAAGCAAGACGGAAGTCATATGTGTTTGTCTTCCACGAGTATAAAATAATCCTTATACAAGATACATAAAAATATTGATAAATTGCATTTTGACATAAACTGAAAGCCGCATGACCCATAATAGTTATATGCAAAAGTTTAAAGTTAAAATTTTAAAAGAGAATAAATAGGCAAAATATATTTTCATACAAAAAAAAAAACAGAGCAAGATTGAGATCCTATTAAATAATGAATTAAAAATAGTTACTTACCTTAGGTGCTTCCACAATCTGTAGAGATGGGCACTCTGGTTGATGTTTCTTGATACCAATGCTGATCATATTTGGTACTCTTAAGAGTTTTAGTGATTCCAATGCAGGAAGATGAATGTGAGGCTCATTATTTTCATTCTCATTTGATAGACACTCTTCATCATCATATTTTCCAAAAACATATTTTAGCTCATGAGCTCCCCAAATAAGTATAGATTTTAATTTTTGAAGACCTCCGGAAAGAGTGGATGGAAATATAAATTCCAATTTATTGCAATCCCAGACACTAAGGTGCAGTTGAGATGGACATCATCATCCTCTGCCTCATTTGTTATAATGTGCTTCAATTCTGAACACCCCACAACAGACAGCTTCTCCAACATGATAGTTGTGGCAATGGATACACTGAATAGTGACTTTAATTTTGAACATCCCCTAAGTGTCATCTGCCTTATATTTTGTAGGCTCAATGGTTGTCTCACAAGACACTCAGCTGAATGAAATGTTTCAATCCTTTCACTCAATACATGTGATTCCTACAACCAATCACTTCTCTTAGATTCAACTTAATTATATAACTGATTACTTTCTACAATAATCTAATCCTATTTCTCAACAACAATCTGATTAAAAACATCGCAGTAATTAAAGGACGATAACATACATGAAATACAAAATAAATGTGTCAAGCATTAGGTATTATAACACTGGGCATTTTAAGGTGTGATTTATAAGGTATTCAACTAATAACTTCCGTGCCCTTGATACTAGTAAAATAATAGAAAAATAAAAAAATAATAACAAAACATTGAATTAACCAAAATTCCTGCTCATGTCAATGATATACTACCTATTATCAATATTCGGGCGTGTGTGCGAGTATTTATTTTTGTCTTTAATTTTTACCGCAATAAAAAGATTAATGTTAGACAAATTGACATTAAATTTAGTGTAATTAACGTATTACTTCAGTTTATCCGAAATTCTGAGGTACAAAAATAGCTATCAAATTTTAAAGTGAGAATATGAAATGTAGGTATATGAATATGCATCGAATAAACATAAATATTCAAAAATAATGAATATTAAATTAGGAATATGAGCATTTTAAAGATCAAATTGTTTGAGTTCGATTCCTGTTAGGTACCAGCTAAAATAATTGAAAAAAAAACTAATTGAAAATGAACAGAATTACTATACACAACCAAGACGAAAGTCATGCATGTTTGTCTTCTAGAAGTATAAAATAATCCTTATACAAGATACATAAAAATATTGATAAATTGCATTTTGACATAAACTGCAAGCCGCATGACCCATAATAGTTATACATAAAAGTTTAAAGTTAAAAATTTTAAAAGAGAGTAAATGGAAAAAAAATGTTTTCATGCAAGAAAACAAAACAAGATTGAGACCTGATTAAATAATAAATTAAAAATAGTTACGTACCTTTGGTGCTTCCACAATCTGTAGAGATGGGCATTCCGGTTGATGTTTCTTGATGCTAATGCTCATCATGTTTGGTACATCATCGAGGTATAGTGATTCCAATGCAGGAAGATGAATGTGAGGCTCATTATTTTCATTCTCATGTGATTGACAATCTTCATCACCGTATTTTCCAAAAAGATATTTCAGTTCATGAGCTCCCGAAATAAATATAGATTTTAATTTTTGAAGACCTCCGGAAAGAGTGGATGGAAATATAAATTCCAATTTATTGCACTTCCAGACACAAAGGCTCTGTAGTTTTGGGAAGATGGAGGTGCAGTTGAGATGGGTATCATCATCCTCTGCCTCATTTGTTATAATGTGCTTCAATTCTTCACAGTCCTCAACATACAGCTCCTCCAACATGATGGTTGTGGCAATGGATACACTGAATAGTGACTTTAATTTTGAACATCCTAAAAGTGTCATCTGGCTTATATTTTGTAGGCTCAATGGTTGTCTCATAAGACACTCAGCTGAGTGAAATGTTTCAATCCTTTCACTCAATACATGTGATTCTTACAACCAATCACTTCTCTTAGATTCAACCTAGTTATATAACTAATCACTTTCTCTCATATGATCATATATCTCAATAACAATCCCGTTATAAACATAGATGAACCGAAAAAGAATTAATGTATCAGAAAATACATGAAATATAAAGAAGTTTGTCAAGCATCAGGTATCATAAGACTCATTTTTAACGCATTCAACTGGTAACATCGTGCCCACACTACTAGTCAAATAATGGAAAATAGAAAAATAAAAAAAATAAAGCGTTGAATTAACCAAGATCTCTACTCATGTTAATGATATGCCTGTTATCACTATTCACGTGTGCATGTGAATTTTTATTTTTCTCTTTAATTTTTGCTGAAATGAAAAGATCGAGGTTGTGTAGTTCCAACTCAAGACAAAAGCCGTACGTGTTTGTGTTTTCATAGTATATATATTCCTTAATTTAGTGCACTTAAAAAAAATAATTAATATTACTGCTTTATCAATCCTGATGAAGACTTATTTTATTGATAAATATTACAGTCGTAGGAAAATTGAGTAATTACACAATATAAAATTACTTTTTTAAGAATTCCTTTTTTTAAAAAAATCGCTTTTGGTATCCGATTTTACATTTGATTTGTATTCTTTCAAGATTCTTAAATTTACTTCACTAGAAATAATTTTATTTTATTTTCCAAGAGCTTTCTGTCATGTACACAAACCTCAAAAAAAAAATCATTAATTGGGTCAAAATCTGTACTTAAATATAGACTAATTTTTTGAGAAAAATTAATATTAAATATTAATTAAATTTTTATAAAGAAAATATTATTTAAATGACTGTTTTAATCAAAACTTAATACTGATGAACCGATGCATAAAATTATAATAACATAAAAAATTTAAAATATGTATAAAGAAAAAAAGACTATAAATATGGCCTATCATGACTCGCATATAAATTAAAAGAAAAGAAACAACAAGTAAAAACAAACATGACTTATCATTTTTTTCCTCTCACTGTTTCTCTAAAGATCAGATTCACTTACTTCGTCACATTAGAAGTGCCATGTCACACTTTCAATAAAACCAATCAATTGGCAATACTTATATTACCACATCTCCCCTGTGTTATTAGATCGACATGCCTTAAAAAGTAAAATGTGATTTATAAGGTATTCAACTAACAACTTCCATGCCCCTGATACTAGTCAAATAATAGAAAAATAAAAAATAATAAATAATAAAACATTGAATTAACCAAAATTCCTGCTCATGTTAATCATATGCTACCTATTATCACTATTCGTGCGTGCGTGAGTATTTTACCTTTGTCTTTAATTTTTACTGCAATAAAAAGATTAATGTTAGACAAATTGACATTAAATTTAGTGTAATTAAAATATCACGTCAGTTTATCGAAATTTCTGAGATACAAAAATAGATCTCAAATTTTAAATCGAGAATATGAAATGTTGGTATATCAATATGCATCAAACAAATATAAATAGTCCAAAATAATGAATATTAAGTTGAGACTATGAGCATTTTAAATATCAAAAGAAAACTAATTTAAACAAGCGGAATTTCTTTTCCGCCATTCAGAAAGGACGCAGGTAGCCCCACAACATCCAAGGAGTTAAATATAGACTAATTTTTTAAGAAAAATTAATGTTAAATATTAACTAAATTTCGTGATAAAGACAATATTGATTAAATTACTGTAAAGGTGCACTTTATCAAGACTAAATACTAAGGAACCCATACATAAAATTATAATAACACAAAAATATAAAAAATATATGTAAATAAAAGGAAAAAATAAGACTATAAACCATTCATATACGATATGCTAAAATGGAAGATTAATTAATAGAATAAACACCTTTGGACAAAAAGAGCAAGACTAAAGTAGCATACCTGGGAGATTGTGGGGTCTTTTAGCAGTGTAGCATTGGAAACTCCAATATTAGTATCTGTATTTGGGCCCAGAAAACAACACCCATGAGCCCAAGAGAAAGCACTCATCTTAAAGTTCTTAGGTCTCTCCTCTGAATCTTCCTTTGAAACTTGAGATGGCCTTAGCACATATCTCTTGCATTTTTGAAATATGTTAATGAAACTTGGTACTCCAGCAAGGTTCACCTCTGCTAGCGAATGGAGCATTTTGATTTCCTCTTGCACAACTTGACCTCTATATTCACCGAATATGTATTCTAGCTTTGCACAGTCATATATATATAGATATTTCAAATTGGGAAGGTCTCCAGCTAGAAGGAATGAAGATACCTTTTCTAATTTGCCACATTCTTTAATTTGAAGAGACTTTAATGCCGGAAACAATGAGCCATCACCTTTTTGATCATTAACAACCCCCATTTCTTCTTCTGAACTCTTATCTGCGATTAAGCTTTTCAATTCTGCAAAACCTTCAACTACTAATTCTTCCAATTGCCCAAGACTTTGAGCAATAGAGGGTTTGAAAATTGCTAGTTGGAACATTGTGCAATCTTTCAATTTCAATACCCTCAAATGAGGAAGTTTGAGAGTTTCATCTAAGAATACGTTTTGCAATTTCCTACAACCCTTTAACTTTAAAATCTGTAACTTCTCAAGAAAGCCTGAAGGCGTGGCACCCCAACATAATTCTTTCACATCCACATTATCTAGATGCAACTCAATCAAGTTCAAGAAGACTGTCATGTTACGATTGTGACGCTGATTACTATCAATAAGGCACTCTATGTCAGTCCATTCATACAAGTAAAGCTTGATTCAATTATCCATGCCTTCATCTTCCACAGGAATAATGTCAGGGACAAGACTTTTCCATCCTGTTTGTCCTAAATTTCCCAGCTCAAGAACTTCTGATCTTTCCACAAGGTACTTAAACATGGTTTTTGATAGTAAATGTTTCATATGATCTGTATTGAAGCATTTTGGTAGGCCATTATCATCATGAGTCAAGCCTTTCAAGACATCACAAGCAATAAAAAAAAATTGCAATGTAGAAGGAGATATATCATAAGCAATTTCATCTTCAATTTCTTTGTCATCCTCTGGCTTCCAGTCTTTGACATTGTAATTGCTGACAAAATACAATTCTTTCAATTGTGAGCATCTTTCAATCACTCGAAAAGGGTTGTTCTTTTGAATTTCACACTTCTTTAATCCCAACCATCTCAACTTCTGTAGCTCCTTGATATCTTTGGGCAATTCAATAATTAAACAATTTTTCAATTCAAGCATCACAAGACTTTGAAGATTCTTCAAAACAGAGATGTCACCTAATTCCCAACCATCCAAGATAATAGTGTGAATATTCTTCAATGAAAGAAGTGATTGTGACAATGATGGAGTGGAAAGAAGTGATTGTGACAGTGATGGAGTGGGAACTTTTCTACCATATCCACTGAGTAAAGACAGAATTTTGAGCCTTGACATTTTTGCAAAGAATGCATTTGGATCTTTCACTAGAGCATTTCCACTTATCCAAAGAAGTAAAATTTCAAGTTTTGCATCATCAAGTTGATCAGGAAAATCATCAGCACTCCAAAACACAAATCGCTTGTTGGCTTTTAAAGTCATTGTTGAATCTGTAATCACCTAAATATCTTCTTTTGCTATCCATTGGGCCACCTCACGAACCAAATCATGCATTTTTACACATTCTTTTCCCTCAACCTTCAATAGCAAAGAAGAAGCTATGAGTTTATTTTTTACTGCAACTGCTCGACTTCTTGATGCACAGTATTCGTCAGGTTCGCCAAAAATTCCTAACCCTATACCAAGTCTAATAATAAGGTTTATAGGAATTTCATAGTCTTCTGGGAAAATAGAACACAATAAAAATAGCCTTTGAGCCTTCTCATCATTTAAATGATCATAGCTTAATTTTAAGCATCTATAAATAGTCACTAAATCTTCATCAATATCAACAAATTGCTTGGAATTTCGTAAGGTTGTCAAACCTACATTCCATTCACCTACGGGCCAATTTCTTAATGCTCCAGCTAGTGCTACAATTGCAACTGGCAATCCTCCACACTCCTTCACAAAATTTTGTGCAAGACCCTCAGAATCATTACTTCCAGCATGAGATAGAAAAAGTGACAATGCATCCTCATCAGCTAATGTGTGTAGGCGAACTGTTTGGTGGCATCTCATTGCTTCACAAACTTTTGAATGGCGGGTAGTTATCAAAACATAGCAATTCTTGTGATCGGTTCCAGATGGAATCCCAATTTCAGTGAGGTCTAACTTCTCCCACACATCATCTAATATTATAAGTAATTTTTTTTCATAACCATAAATTTTAGACCATAGAAGCTTTGAGTGATCTGCTTCAACTCTTGGATCTAAATCCAAAACTAATTGCCTTGCAATGTCGCCTCGAATCTTGTTGACATCTGGAGGATTAGACACAACAACAAATATGACTTTCTCAAATGCTTTGGATTCTTCAACTTGCTTTCCTACTTGTGTTGCCAATGTGGTTTTACCCGTTCCCCCCATCCCTTGCAATCCAATCATGTAATGATTTCCATCTTTTAAAGCTTCCACAAGTTGTTTGAATTTTGTCCTCCTGCTCTCAAAATCAATGAAGTCTTTTGAAGCATGGTACTTCATACCTGGAAGTTTAACTGGGCAAGGTACTCTTTCAAAGTTTTTATATTTTTGGATGTGATCTTTAATGACTTGCACCCTCTGTGCCAATCTCTTGCCTTGTCGATATTTCCTAAGAAAAGAACAGCTATCACACCTTGTTTGCCTAACTTCAGCATTCATTTGAATTAGTTTATCAGCTTTCTTTATCCAATCTTGAACTTCACCTTCAACTTCATGCTCATTAATGTTGGCGTCGTCAATATCCTTTCGAACTTTCTCTAATCTTCTACGCAAAAGTTGATTGTCCTCATCAAACTCGTGATCATGAGTCTCGAAATGACGAAAGTAATTAACTTCCTTTATGGTTTTATCTACCAATCTCTTGGCAAGATCTGTTAAAATACCTTCCCCAGGGCATGCCATCTAAAATGAACAGGGCATTAAATTAGGATTCCAAAAATAGTAATTAAAAATGTGAAAAGCTATGATGATATATAATGTTTTACAAATATGTAATGAAATCTCTGGTGTAGTCAATGCCCAACCATTTGTATTCTCTTTTGTTAATGTTCTGGGATCCAAATTTTAATTAATAATTAACTATATAAATAGATAAGTAATAAACGAATTGCAGTATTGCAAACAAAAAAATGTCATAAAATAAAATTGTATTATATTTAAATTGTATGTATACTATCTTTTTGGACCAACTTAATTTCCAATATCAATATTTAATAAATGCCTCCTAATTAAAAGAGTTCAGGATACAAGCATACCCGCGGGTCAAACCTAGCAGGTTAGTGTTCTTCTGATGGGTTAGTGGACTGACTATATAATTTTTAAAAACATATGTTTTTTTATTTTTAATGTCAATCTACAAATTGTGATTATATATTTTTAATGTCAACCTATAGATTATGATTATGTCTCTTTTGGTAAATTTGTTCTCATGCAACTCACATTTAAACGACTAAAAGTTGAAACTAGAAAGACTAAAATTAAAATAATGACAAATTTAAAGGATCTAAAATTATATTAACCCTTATTAATTTTATTTTAATTTTGGAATATTTCTCAAAATATTAAAATCAATTATCACAATGTATGAAAAAGATTCATTTTACATTTATGGTCAAAATTTTTTAATTGGTTAATTAATTGACTTTAAAATTTACAAATATACTGTTTTAAATTAAGATTGCGAAGAACGAGGAAAATCTTGATCAAATAAGAAATTTTGTAGGGTGTAGACTCACATGACTTAAATGAAAATGACATAAAATTAAGATTCGTACGTACTTTTGCCTACATATTCAAATTCTAACATTATTTTAAAAAAAATTATTACCAAACGTCATAAAAGTTACCATACCATCTTTAACCTGTTTTTGGGTTTTAATTTATTTCACATACATTATAGAGAAACATAAAGAAATGTCAAGTGGGGATAAAAGTATAGTTTTAAAAAGTTTTTAGCCACAAAAAAAAAAAGTAATCATGAAAAGTTTTCCTGAAATTCAAAAAATATCATAAACTCAAGAAAAATAGTAAAGAGGTTTTAAAAAAATGGAGGCTTTAGAGAGGCATAAATAAAGACAATACCTCAAAAACGAATTTGTGGGAATAAAAGGGCTATTTTTGGCTGATTCGGTAATATTTAGGCAAATTATATAATATAGTAAAATTACATAAAAGTCCGAAATAATTATTGTGAGAATTAATAAAATTTACTAAGAGAATTTTACCCAAGGAAATGGAATATTTCATTTTGAAATAATTTTTTAGCTTTAAAATTGTAATTTCGAAAAAATTAAAGGATAAATAATTTGGGATTAAATTTTGAGATGACAAAACTGCAGAAATTATTTTATGAGGAGAATAGATTTTGGAAGAGTTACTTATTGGTTGGGAATTAATGATGAAATTTAATTACGTACACGTTAGGAAAGTGTCCAAAATTTCCTACCATAATTCCAAAAATTAAAACAAATCAATCCCTTATAAAAAAAAAAAACAAATCAATCCCAGCTCCCAAGCCTAATAAATCTGCTGATGGGCGAGGCTGGAGGTCTAATTATCCTAAAAATTATTTGGCCCAAAGGTGTGGTTAGAAATTATGGATTTCAGGTAATTATTATGAATCGTTAATAGTCTCATTTCTAATTGAGGCAAAAGCATAATTTTAAAAAGTTCTGGGTCCGTGAGGGTAAGCATTTTAAAAAAAAATGCCCAAAAATTCATAAAATTCTTAGAAATTCATGGAAAATGGAAATAAATGTCCTGGACAATATTTGTTGCATTTGTGGTGAAAATAAAGGAAATTTTCCAAAAAAGGACTTTTTATTTAATTTATAAAATTTTGGTTAGTTAAAGGATAATTAACCAAAATTAATTATGAAAAATATTAGGATGTCTAAAAGGGAAAAGAAAAAGAAAACCCATCAATTCTTCAAAACATTTTCAGCAAAAGTAGAGAATTAGTATTATGATGAAGGGTAAACTAGTACATTAATAATTTAGATGTAAGTGTATGTGTTCAAAATAAACGAGAGATCTATGTAATTAAGACAAAATGTGAAGGAGATTAGTGCATAATGCTGAGCATAATTTGCAAAATTAAGAAGGGGCCTCGTTAATGTTCAAATTCTCAAGTATAAAAAGATTAAGAAATGAATTGAGAAATAAATAACATACTGGAATTCTTGTGGGCGTAATTGAGCGCTTAAGAGCTTTCTGATTCTTTTTTTTTTTTAATGTTATTTAAACCAAGTTTGTAGAGTAGTCTTTCAAAACAACTTTGGAAAAAATCTGTTTGAATAATTAATTTGAAAAATATATACTTATCTGGTCCTTAATACAAGACCTATTTAATTAATTTAATTAGATTAATGAAATTAGATAAGTTAATTAATTATAAGAAATATGACATGTTTTTCTTAAAATGCCATAATCATCTTTCTTAACATCCTCATTTCCTCTTTTAATTGATTATGCTTGAGAAAGTATTAATAAGGATAATTTAGAAAAAAACTGATAAATATAAAAAATAGGTCTTATATTTAGGATCAAATTAACTCAACAATTAAGTTCTATATTAAATACTGAAGGAGTATAAAACAGTGAAATAAAAGATGAAAGAATATTTTTATACTTGCATAATTGTCCTTAATTAAAAACATGGGCTTTGTTTGTTTCTATTCTATTTTTACGTTTTTAGAGTACTTTTATAAATTTTTTAAAATAAGTTTTATAAAACTAAAAAAACATGTTTGGGTAATTGTTCCAAAAATTTGCATTTGAAAATAATTTTTTTTTTCAGGATAATTGTATTTAAAATCAACTTGAAAAACGACTAGAGAAGTGAGGGGCAAAGCGGAAAGTGCATTGACAATGGACAAAAAAAGATAGATAATTGAGAAACAATGCAGATAAGCGTAAGAGAGGGAATGGGAGAGTGTCTAAAAAGGTTAGCTTAAAAAACAACAACTACATGATAAAGAAAATTCAAAAAAAAAAAAAGTAAAAATTGTTGAGTTTTTTGTTTTCTGAAATATATTTTTATTTTTTGTTTTGCAGAACACCTACTTAAAAATTAACAAACAGACAAGTTTTTTATTTTTAAAAATAAAAAATTGTTTCCAAAACAATAAAACAAACATGCCCATAATGTTTCTCCACTTATTTTCTAATTTTACAGAACAAGAAGATAAGAAGACATCTAACATATGTTTTTTTCTCCTGAACAATTTTTTATATTTTTCTTATTTTTCAAAGCACATAAACAAACACACATTTTCAAACAATTTTTTTATTGCTTTTCAGGAGAAAAAAACTGTTCTGAAAACAACAAATGAAACAGTCCCTAAATGTTACTATAAACATTCAAATAATTAAGAGTTTCTCTAGCAAGCTCCATTCATATATTTCGTGATACCTTGGTGGTGAGATGCGTGTGTAAAAATATGAAATTTTAGGATACTAATTTTGAGTAAGCTGTGCATAATATATAAGTCAAGAAACTAAAGTAGGATAATTCTTGTAAAGCCTCATATTCTTTTTCCTTTATGTCATGTTTATATTTTTGGCTAACTACTTTCCTCAGCAAGTGATTGGAAAAGGCTTTATCACACACACAAACATTATTAGCATATGATTTTCTTTCTTTCAATTAAATTATTTAGAGGAAAACGCCAATATATATTCTAAAAATTGATCATTCTCGTGTATACAAATTTATTTGTTATGAATTTTTGTATGTAATATTAACTAAGATTAGTTTAACAACGCCAAACATATAATTATTGAATTTATATCTTAAATAACCCTTAAATATGAAATAGATGGAAAATAACAAGGTATATAACGAGGAAAAGAAAAGTGAATTTCAAGAAACATGCGTACCACTTCTTTGATTGATCCCTTGCACAGAAAAACTTCCAGGAGCAGTAAAAACAATCAGCCAAATCAAAAAGGGAACTGAAAAAGAAGAAGAAGAAGAATATTAGTGATGATATTTAAATAATTATAATATTTAAATTTAAAATGTGTGTCATGCAGTCTATTTTGTTTAGATATCATAAATAAAATTACTACTAATATAATATTTGCTCTTTCAAATTTTAAATCATAGTCTTTAGTTCTTAAATTTCTTTTGATTTAAAATATTCATCCTTGTAATTCAATAAAAACTATGACTATTTTGCTTCTTGAAAAACCAAAACCTATGGCTTGAAACTTAAGAAATTAAAACCAAACTGAGAGTAAAAGTAAAGAATCAAAGATTATTAATCCATAAAATTATGGGAGAATTCTAATCAAATCCAACTGAAATACCTAAATCCAACTTTAGGTTTACACTTTTCACAAATTCCTAATTAGGTCATATATGAATGTTATTAAATGACTATAATGCACTCTTTAATTAAAAAAAAACTTGATTATTTTACCCCCTCCCAAGTGTTCGTTCCCTCATCTCTTATAATTATTTTTTAAAACCAAAAAGCACAAATAATTTTATCATGTTTAAAATGTGTATATATAACTAAAATCTTTAAAAATATTTTAATTAAACATTTTAAATTATATTATAAAATAATTAATTTTTTTTTAATAAAAGAAGAACATTTTAGTCATTTAACAAGATTAAAAAAAATCCTAAATTAAGCCTTATGACCTGATTAAGAATTTGTTAAAAAGAAATATAAGCTTTAATTTGAAGTTAAGTATTTTAGCTGGATTTTATTTAGATTTTTCCAAAAATTATCATATTTAATACCAATTTACTAGTGCAAAACTGTCAGAACAGAAGAACCCCCAATATATTAATTTCAATGAAATTAAAGTCAAATGATACAAAACTAAAAATTAGAGGATGGATCAGCTTATCGTACTTTCCAGGAAAACAGCACAGAGCACTGCGAAAT